TTATATTTTTAAAATTACATTAAAAACAATGGTTTTAAATATTTTTATATTTCTTGCAAAAGCCATTTTTGAGTTTCATGATTTAATGTAAAAACAATCAATTTAATACTGCTATTTTTTGTTGTCACAAGTTTATTAATTATTAAATGATTTAGCATTTTTATAATGTTTAGTACACTTTCACAGATTTGATATGGGTTTGTTGAATTATTCAAAAGATAATTCTTCATTAACTCAATATGTTTTTAATGTAAAAAACGTTTATTTATAAACGCATTAGTATAAAAGTTTGAAGAGTGTTTATTTAATCAGTACACTGCATTAATTTTGTTGGCTCAATAGAATCAGGTGAAAATGCAACTTTTCTATGAATATGTATTTATTTAAGGAAGCTAAATAAACATGTTAGAACATGATGTAAATTTACATAAAACGGCAGCTGAAATTTTAAGATTTCATTGATATCTTCCGACGATTCTAATTAATTATGCTAGAAAAACGTACATATATGTTTGTTGGTTTCATTTTATTCACCTTTTGGGTGTGATTTTAATTTAAATATTCATGAGTTTGTTATTTCATATTCATCCAGCTAGAAATGTTATTTAAAAGGATATGCATAAATTTAAAATATTCCTACAACTTTTATTTTCATTATGCATGGAAAAATAAAAAGCTGTTTTTCTTACGTGTTTGTTAATAAACTATATTTTGGAAAAACTAATTGCACTAAAAGCTCTTTCAAGAAGTTATTTTATTTAAAACCTGTGGCTTTTTTATGTAATTAAGTTTCGGCATAAACTATACTGACTCCATATATGTGAACTTACCAACTAAAAAAAAAAAAAGTAAAATTAAAGCACAAAAAAAAATTACATTAAAATATTTAATTAAACCTTTTTTTGATGTTATTCAAATTAAATATTGAAAACGCATATTTTAATAAACAATATATTTATTTTTATATTTAAATAATATTAAAATAAAATTCTTCCAATTTTAAGAACGCGTATAACTTCAGTTTCTTACTTTAATGTGAAATATCATTTTCTATACTGTTATTTATTTGTTGTCTGAAGTTTAACTTTTAAAGTAATTCGATCATTAAATCAGTTTTTTTACTGTTATTAAATTTACTTTTAATTTAATTAAACTGTAATTTATTCGAACTTATCTTTTATTTTTAAAACCTCTAGTACATATGTATGGGTACCTAGTATTCAGCGACATACATAACAACAACTTTCATGTAAATCATGCAGTCCATCTTAACCAATTCTTTACTATGATCAGATTCAAATCTAGATAAGACCATTATTTTGAATTAAATTCACCATGAAGTAATATAAAGCAAAACATGCAATCGTCAACTACAATATAGCAATCAATACTTGAAGCAATCATTATTCTGATGAAACTGGTGATTAATTACTTTACTTTAATATAAAAATACAATAATCTCTTATATTTTAGTAGAATTTGTTAATGAATGTCTGAAATTTCCAACAACAATATGAAGATATAAATCTTCGACTCCGTAATTTGCTACAGCGTAAACAATGAATACTTGAAGCAATTATTATTTAGATGAAACTGATTGATTAATTACTTTGTTCTAATCAAATATGCAATAAACTATATATATTTGTTGATGAATGTCTGAAATTTTCCATTTTCAAGAAAGGCACTACAATATAAAGTTAATTTCATCGCCCGTAATTTGCTGCAGCGTATAGCAATGGAATTATTATTCTGACTGATTATTATACTCTAATAAAAATATAATAAATTCTATATATTTTAATATTTGTTGATTGATTGCCTGAAATTTTCCATTTTCAACGCAGACACAACAATATGAAGCTAAGTTCCTAATACAAAATATAATAAATTTTTATATATTTTTAATAGAATTTGTATATTTTAATAGAATTTGTTGATGATTGCCTGAAATTTTCCATTTTCAACGCAGGCAAAACAATCTGAAGTATAATTTCCGTCGTGCGTAATTTTATGCAAGCCATATTTAGAAATAATAAATTTTTAGGTATTGTGAATCCTCAGTTATTTTTAATAACATTTTTTTTAAAAATCAAAACACTGTGCAGGTACTCAAAGTGCACTGGCTGAGTATTCTCTATTTTTGGCCGTGATCCAGCAACTAATCTAAATTTTTTAAGGTATACGAAGCAGGTAACCCTATGTGAATACCAGCACAGAGTTATTACAATCTTTTGCTGAAGAATCTTACATGTGGAAGTGGAAACAGTGTTGTTTGGCAGCTGTGCAATGCTGCGATCTTATGCTCAGAACACCGCCCAATGGAAAAGGTAATATAGTGTTAATTAGCGTTTATTTAATATTCATTCCCTTACCCAAAATACTATTTTAATTAAAAATGATAAATCCATTTCCTAATTTTTAAGACATCCAATTATCGCATTTGCCAAAGTTTGTCGTGTCGTACTTGAAATAGGAACGAACTATAAAAAATTGTTCGCATATTTTATTTTCACCCATCATTCCTTAACTGAAGTCAAAAGAAAACTGTCTAATTGTAAATATATCACAAGTTTCATTCAGCATATTTGGAAAAACACTTTGAGTAATTTATTGCATGTACTAACTGTAGTAGTGTTAGTTTATTGTAGTAGTAGTAATTATTTGGTTTTCAAATTACAATAATATAAGTAGCATTTTTGGCAGAGTGTTGAAAATGATTTATTAAAGATTTATCACCGGGTTCAATTATTTCTCTTAATAGAGCACGAAATTCCCTTTAATTGCAGTTGGTGCATTTTCGATTAAAATTCTCCAAAATCGCTATGTGAATAATAGCATTAAAACAATGCGTTGTCGACCATGAAAAATTAATTAATTATTAATCATTGGTATAAATTAATAATTAATCATCATAATAATTCGTTGGGTAAATTAATCATTGGAACGAATCTCCTTCTATTTTCTGTTTTGAGAAGTACCAACTACATCAAGATTGTATCAAGATTGTTTTTTTTTTTTTAGTTTTTTTTTTTATTTCATGAATATTTTCAAAAGTTAAAAGAAAATTTCTGGTGATTTTCTGTTTCCTGATACAATTTTCTGTTTAGATAAATCGTTTATCATATCGTCCAATTCAAACTTTACATCATGCTGGACATTTGATTTTTACAATCAAATATCCAGCAGTTTGTAGCCACTTTTCTTATTTCAGATAAAATATGAAGAAATATTTGCAATACATAATTTGTCACCAGAACAAGGATTTTGACATGCTTACATTATGATAGATCCCACTTACACTATTCCCTAAGACTTCACTCCTGCAAACATTTTCTTATGGCTTGAAGCTTCCCAAACACGCACCCCCCTTCCTCCCACTCACTCTGGGTGCGTGCCTTATGATATTAATGATTTAAAGCATGAATGTATAAAACTTAAAACTTGCTCTTAATAGAAACAACTTTTTAAAAGTATGTTGTTGAGCTTTAGGTGTAATTAAATAAATATTTCCCACAACAAAACTGTTTTCTTTATGAAAAAGCTTAAAAGATCATTACTGAAATCATGCTCTGAAATGTATTATTATGGTGCCCTAAACTTCTTTTACCAATCCTTATTTTTTGATGTTATTGAAGAGAAGGTATGGAAAAATATTTTCTAAGTTAACATTACACGAGTGAAATGTTTTGAGGGACGTAGTTAATAGTAAACTTCTTTAATAACACTCTTAAAGGAATGTTGCTGACTTTGCTGAGTGAAATAACTTCTTTTGCCATTTACTAAAACTTTGCATAAAGAGTTTAAAAATTTATCTACTCATGTCCTAGATAAACTCGTAAAAATGTTTTTAATGACATTCAAAAACAGTTTACGTTGTTAACGTAATGCTGTTTGTCGTGTACTTTCTATCTTCTTCATTGAAAATGGTTACCATTTAGGGTTTCAATAAGACATTATTAGGAATTATGTTCTAAAAGCTGCAGAAATATCTTTTTTTCCTTTTTTTTTTCTAATATATTTCTCACATTTTTCAAGTGCATTCTTTTCAGTTTTTTTTTCTAAAATTTAAAGTTCGTCTTATTTTTTTATCTTCTTAAAATAGAAAATTATGTGATTACATATTATTACAGATAATGATTACTTACAGATAAAAGTCAAAAAATAGTTTTATTATTATAGAAGCCTTTAAATTTATCTTAAATTCGTATTTTATTGCGTCTCGTATATATTCCCTTTATTCTGTCTTATACCTGTTTGATTTTTTTTTAATGGTGTTTAAAATCCAAATATTTAAAATTTAAATTAATAAAAAAAATTAATTAAATTAAATTTATATTTTAAAGCTATTTATCTGCCTTAAACAGCTATATTTATTTTATTTATTTATCTGATTCCAAATAAAATAATTTTATAGTTTTTATTCTTGTAATAATATTTGATAAATCATAATGAATATTCAACCAAGTACAATTCTTTTTTTCCTAAAAATGTATTTAACTTTTTGTATACACTATATGTTGTTGGTTTGCTTTGAATTCCATCTTTTTCTGTCTATTATTATCTGTTTCATTTGAAGATCCTAATCATTCCTTGAATTTGCCCAAATGGACATTTTTACATGAATTTTGTCTTTTTCCTGTTTGATCAAACGATTTTTACACAATGAATGTCTTTAAAAAAATTTTAAAAGTTTGTTGTTGTTGTTTTTCTTATCCCACTTGGCTGGCCAAGCCCATGAGCCCATACGTACTCATGATTGAAGGGGAAGGAAGCAGCTTCTGTTGTGATGGAGCACCCGTAGGTAGAAGTCTGACTTTGGCTCCGTGTCGCTCTTACAGTCATAGGAGACCGGGACCTACGGCTTAAAGTGGATTCCGAACCACTACAAATATCCATGGCACCGTCGAGATTTGAACCCGAAACCTGTGGCCCCGAGCGCCAGAGCGCTAGACACTCGGCCATTCAGGTCCCAAATTTGTGAATGCCAACGGCACGCGGTTCACCCAACCAAGTACTGACCGCGCCCAACGATGCTTGACTTCGGTGATCTAACGAGAACCGGTATATTCAGCATGGTATGGTCGTTGGCTTAAAAGTTTGTAAATAAGGTATCATTTTGTATATTCAACCAAGTAAAATTCTATTTTCCGTGTAAAAAATGTATTTAACTTTTTTTTATTTTTCTTCCTTTTTTATGCGCTATATTTTTCTAGTTTCCTTGAATTCCACCTTTTTCTGTTTTTCTGTTCATTTCATAATCCTAAATCTTCCTTGAATTTGCCCAATGGACTTTTTACATGAACACTGTTTTTTTCTGCTTGATCAATCGTTTTCTACACAATGAATTTTTTTTTAAATTGTTAAATGATTATAAAAAGGTATCCTTTTTGTATATTCCACCAAATAAAATTATTTTTTTTTTTTCGTAAAAAAAAAAATGTATTTAACTTTTTTATGTACTATATATAGTATATTTATGTTTCTCTATTTTACTGGTTTCTTTGAATTTCATCTCTTTCTATTTTTCTGTTCATTTGATGATCCTAATCTTTCCTTCAATTTGTCCAATATACATTTTTACATGAATGCGGTGTCAATCGATTTTTACTCAATGAATTTCTTTAAAAAATTGTTAAAAGATTGTAAATAAGGTATTACTTTAATAATAATTAGTCAAACGCAACAAAATGATCAAGCACTCTTCTTTTTTAAAAGGTAACCAATTATTTTTCAAGTACTGAAAACATTGTTTGCCCATTTCTTTATTTTCATATTGTTAATTGACAATAAACAATGCATTTTTTTCTTATTTTTTAAATCTTCAGATACCATAAGCTGAAATTTATTTAGGATGTGATCAAAAGAATATTTGAAAAATCTTCGCTGTATAAAATAAAATTATTGGAAAATTAAATAGTTACTCTTAGCAATTTATTAAATGCTATGTTGCTTTAGTAATTAATTAGTACTAATAATTTTATTATTTAGTTCCCTTCACTTAATTATACTTTTTTATATAATTATGGAAGGATATTTAGTTATTTATGCAAATCTTTGTGCTATAAATGTTTAGAAAATTATCAAAAATTTTGAATTTTTTACTCATTCATGTTATATTTGAATTTAATCAAAGCTTTAATTTAATTTATTTGTAAATAAAATTGAATTCTTTTCATCAAAAAATTTCTTTAATATTATGATTTAATTATTTTTAATTCAAAATTAAAATGCCGAAAAAGAAAGTTGAAAACTCTGACACCTTATATACAAAAGTTACTCTGTTTAAGTAGTTTTAAATATTATTAAAAACAAATTATTTTTAGCCAATTAAGTTGTTTTTGCTATTTTGCTTAAAAACTCAAACTCAAAAACTCAAGCAGCTAATTTCAAAAGTATTGTTTTCAATATCAGTTTCAAGAATATTCCATTTCATAATATATTATTTTTAGATATTAGACGAGTTATTACTGTATTATTGTGAGTTATTAGTTATTTTAAGTATTAGCCGAGTTATTTATTTAGGTTAGATGAGTATTAACGAGATAATGCTTATGAAACAGAAATGACTTAAATAATATCAGATCGTATCATGAGCGCGTTTGGTTTTCTGTAGTAAAATTAAGTTATATTTTAATGTTTTCTGAAAGGACATTAAACAGTAACTATTGACATTTTGAGTCAGCTTTTAAGTACTGATTTGACACATTTATTAGAATTCCAAGAGATTACAACGATGTAAATTTAGACTAATTTCTATAATTTTAGTCTAAAGCCAGTCATGTCACCATTAACCGTGTTGTCTATTTGGTTCCGCGAAATATACGTCAGTATGTTTCAGGCAACTCAGCTAAAAGTTGGATGAGCTCTCAGTGATAAAGTCATTATTTGACTGGCAGTGGCACTGAAGTTAACGAAAAAATCCTTCTGAAAAGGACTTAAGTAGTATTTATAAAATAGGTCATTTCGTGAATAAGTTGCTTCTAGCAGGGATAATGCTTGTTGCACTTTATGAAATTAATAATTATTTTTTTCCCCTAAATTTCAGAGGGTCCTTATTGCCCACGAACATGGGATGGATGGCAGTGCTGGAACGATACTCCGGGTGGAGCTACAGCTATCGATATCTGTGAGGGTCACATATATTTTGACAATGAACCACCTTCTTGTCCAAGTAAGTGCAATCTATTATATATAATTCCCGTGTCACGATGTTTGTTCGGGATGAACTCCGAAACTAACAATCCGATTTTAACTCTTTTTTTTCTTAAATGTGTGTTTTGTTCCAACTTGAGAGATAGGATAGTTTTTTTATTCAAATTTTTTTTTATTTAAACGCAAAATCCACTATTTTCATATTTCGTCATTTGGCGCTATTGACGTCATTTGGCGCAACTAAAATGTGCGATTTTTCATTCGATGGACGTAATTTTGAAAGTACATTCAAAATACAAGGTCAGATGTACCATAAGATCGGGTCGTTGATGTCAATACCTAACGAAGAGCCAAAATTTCTTCAAATTTATTTTATGGGCAGTTCTGAAGAATGTATGACAACTCGATGTCAGTATAATTTTTCGAAAAAGCAGTACAAAGAGCTATTGTAGAATTGTTGGATAATCTTTTAGAAAATCATAACTAACTTATTAAATTATTTAACGAATTTATTTATTTTGACGAAAGATAGATTAATAAGAAATAGTGTTCATCGCTTAGTTCTTAGATAAATGAAAGTAATGATTATTAAAAATTAAATTTGGTCAAATAATTATAAAACAGTGTTAAAAATCAACATTATCTACCTCATTCATTAAATTAATAAAAATGAAACATTTTCTATTCGTTGAAGCGTAATTTGAACTTTTCATCATTCTTTACCAATAATTTCTAATAATTGAACGAAATACAAGAAAGCCACAACAACGCGTGGCCGGGTTTGCCAGTTAATTATAAAATTACTCAGAACATCTCTCCCTTTTTAACAAATTTCTGTGACGCTCTAAATATTCAAAGTTTGTGTGCGGAATTTTTATATATTATTTGTTGCTTATTCACCCTGTGTGAATAATTGGAATTCGTTTATTATAACTATTAGAAGTATGTTGGCATCTACAATATTGATGCAATCAATGAAAAAAAATATTTAAAACCTGGTGAATAGATAAATGGTTCATTCTAGATGGATTTCGAGGATCATCTTTAACGTAGTTGAATACATTTGGTAGAAAATCTTGTAATTTCGACATCATTCGAATATTATTTATGTTTTGGAAAATTCTTCTTCGCTCGCTCTTTCTTTTTCAATTTTGGATGTTGGACTTGCACGGTTTCCAATCCAAAGAAAGAGTGGGGAATTTATATTTTTCTACTGAAATAAAATTGATAAAAGCAAAAAAAAAAGGAGAAAAATAAAACTACCATTAAAACAAAGAAATGGACTGTCAAAGAACCATAGAAAGAAGTAAATTAGATTCTATCTGAATGGGTCTTTAGGCGTTATGACTTAAAGAAATTTCACGGGTTAAGACGAGCAAATAAGAATTATCAGTCCGAAAAGAAATGTTTTTATTAATATTACGCACATATGAATTCAGTCTTTCATTATGCAAATCCGCTACATTTTCTGGTATAGAATTTTTTGGAGTGTATGAAGACGATTTTGAAATAACGTCACAAAGAATAACTTATTTGAATAACTTACGTTACTAGAATAACTTATTTGCTGAACGAAATGAGCATTGAAAATTATCCATGTGGTAACAATTTACTACATTGAAATTTGGCTAAACATTCTATTGAATTGGAAAATTTTAAAATTTTCTGTCTAAAAATTTAAACAACAATTGCCTCATTCTGGAATAAAGAAGTTTAATATATAATAAGAATTATGTTTCAGAATAATAGAAAGATCGAATAGATAACAGTATTCATGTGTATTATTGTGTTATACTATTTAAAAGATCTACCGTGGTACTCATACAACTTTGCAGATAAGAAGTTATATTTAATGATACTTGAAATGCAATGTATTTAGTACTTTGTAATATGGTTTACGTACTTTGCATTCGTGACAAATTGTAATAGTTTTTGAGAAAACGTAAACCTTAAAGGAAAAATTATATTTAAAATTCATAATAAAATCATATATTATACATAAAATTATAATACATAAAATCAATTTATATATAATTATAACATATTATATGGATAGAGAAGTCTGGTGTTTCTGAAAAAAATTCAAGGTAATTTATGTTCAACATTAATATAATAATACTAAACAATGGTTACCAAGGTAGTTTTTCTTTAAAAGTTCAGTAAAATGTTTGATGGTTTTTAGACAATTAAATACAAAAATTACAATGACATTAAAATTAATCCAGTCATTTAATCTTCAAAGGGAACATCACGTATAAAAATTTGAAATCAAGTCAAAGCTAACTATAATACGCCAACTTAACCAGTTATTACTATTTTTACTTTGAAATAAAGAAAAGCAAGTTTGAAAACCACTACACCCACACAAAAACCCATTACCTTAGAGACTTTCGGAACTATTCAGTACAATTATAAACCAAAGAATAAACGAAATACACAAAACATTTTTTTCTAAAACTAATCTTTTAAAAGGATATTTTCTCTGTGGTAACTACTTTTCCCATAATGATTCATACTAAAATGTGGAGCTTTGATGTTTCTACAGAATTTGGTTGAAACACGTAAACAGTTACGTGGAAGTTTCTCTCTTAAGTCTCCCACGGGACTCATTGTGCACTCTTTTTCTTCAAGCATGTTCGGATGAATTTTGGAGTAAAAAGCATGTAGTCTTGTGTATTACAAGTAGTAAAGTAATCTAAATGAATCAAGGAAACATTTCTAAATTTGATTAAATACTACTATTAGAAACTTTTTCTGTTTTTTTTTTATCCTGTTTGTAAAATTTTAAACACATATTTGTGGACATGTGTATCATCGAACGTATGAATATATTTATAATATATGCACTGCAGTGTGTCTATAAGTAACTGTTACTTAGATACTTACTGCAGATACTTAGAAACTTTCAAATCTAAAGGATGTGGCTTTCCATTG